TATCACTTTCCTTGTAAAATTGTTTTAAGGATAATGGAATTAAGAATACTGCTAAATTTACCTTACAGGCTGGCTTACTTTGTGCTAAGTATTACATGAAGCATCTTACATGATCACAATGAGATGGATAATTTTATCCTCCCTATTTTATAGATGAGCAACTATAAGACTCAGAGAAGCTGGGCAACTTGCTCAAGACCACATAGCTGGCAAGTAGTGATACCAGGACATAAACCTGGGCAGTCCTATCTTAGAAACTGCCAAACATTAATAAGTGCTTGGCTCACAAGGATTTGTTTCTTCCCCAAAAGTGGCATGAAACAGTGAAGTCAATTAGAGCCTATACTTCCAGTAATAAATTTTACTTACTAGAGGAAGACTTTTAACATTCTTTTCTAATTATCTATAGATTTCATTTATGTATGTGATGTGGATCCTATATTAGCCAGGAAAATGAGAACTGGATATATTAGCAAAGCAGTCCCCTCAGACAGAACTCTGAAAGCATTCCTGGGATGAAGTATCTTGGACTAAACAGCACCACAGAATTTCATTTACTCCATACACGGCAAGACTTAACTTAAAAAAAAAAATTCCTTCTATCCTCATAAAAATGCTTTAGCTATCATCAACTGATGTTAATTGATCAATATATTTACAGTCACAGAAATTTAGAAAATTACCTTCAATGCTTCTAAGGACAAAAATCCAAAGTGTGAAAGGAAAAGGCGTGCTGTTTGGAATTCCTGGGCAGGAGGTGGGGGTTTACAATCTGTAACTGGATCAGGAAAACTTCTCTTCTGCAATTCTTCCTCACTTTGTTGTTCAAGGTGAATTTCATAAGCAATCTGCTGGGCCATGCCATTCCTTAATTTTTCATGTCTTTCTTCTAACTGAAATAAACCAATTATTTAAATTTTTGAAACTACTTAGAAAAATCCTAGCAACCTGGCTTTTACTTCTACAACCTCCCGACCTTCACAACTCTGGCCATCCATGAGCGCACTCTGTACCTCAGATGTGCTGTACTTTGAAGAGCTACAATTCTCAAATTCCCTTCTCTAATCATAGCTGACTTCATGCAGCTCTCCCACACCTTTATTCCCCAAGCCATGCCTTCCCATAACTGACAGGCATTCAATCCCTCCTTCGCAAGCCATTAGCATCCTGGCTTAATCTATTTCCCAACTAAGTCCCCAAATCTAACATCTTAATTCCCTTCTCCTAAGCATATAAATGGCTGTGTTGTTCCTTATTATTCCATATTCTCACCCATCAATCTCCACACCACTCAAGTTTTTTTACTTATGCCTCTAGATCCCAAGGACTTTTGAAGAAAGCCAGCAGAGGGACTTCACTACAGATAATGTTACTTAACCTCTGCTGGGCTGCCTGGCAATCTTAAGAGCCATCTTTGACTCCCTATTTCATTGCTAAGAACTAAGATTAAACTTAACCTAAATTCCTTCAATTTCCCTCCATTACTAACGTGGAAGACCTCTAAATGCCTCAACCTTCACCTATTCTCTCCTCCCCCATCTTACCAGAAGTATATGCCTTTTCTAGACACAGTCATACAAATTCTTGACCCTACTGCCTCCAGGACCTTACTCTATTATTATCATTTCTCCAGTCCATCTTACAGAGGTAGCAGATGCAGACCCTTCTCCACTGCTTCCTTCCTTTCAACCTCTAAGCATGTTCATGTTCCTACCATCCTTGAATTTAAAACTGCATAGTTTCTATTCACTGCCTCTCATTAACCATTTCCTCCCCAGCCCTACAGTGTCCCTCCTTTAACACTGCTTTGAACCAGCTCTCAAAGGTCACCTACAGTTTGATGCCACACTCCAGGGGCCTCTTCTTAGTGTTCGTTCTCTCTCATCTCTCCAGCACTTGACAGTGCAGGACACCTCCATTCCTCCCCTTCTATTCTCTTACGCCCTGACACACCTCTGTCCCCACTTCTTAAAAATTCTTCCCCCTTGATCTAAAATATGAATTACTTAATCTAATTGAAAATCTAAATTAATCTAAAACCAAATGAATTTATCTTGCCTTTCCAGAACTGTCCTCTTCCTAACTAATCGTATTTCTGTAAATGGCAGTAATACCTTGTTGCTCAAGCTCAAAACCTAAAGTTCTTTGACTCTTTTCTTTCCAACATCAATCCAAGACTGTTTGGATCTTCAATAAATTCCATATATTTAAACTTCCACTATCAGTGAGGTAGTCTCCTTTCCCCTACCTGGACTCTCATAATAGTCTCTGAACTGGTTTACCTTCTCAGAATATCCTCCACTGGAGTCTGGTCACGTCACCATACTATAGACACCTACCACAGACCAGCTCAGGCAGCCCAATGACACCTCTCTCTAACAGACATCCAGTTCCTTTCAATTAGCCACAATATGTACTTGTCTTACTACATGGTAACCTACTGGATGACAGAGATTCAGGTCATTTTATGAATCATCTCCAGTTACACTAAAAAAAGGCAGTGTCTTGACCACAGCAATTGTTTTAAGAATGTTTATAGTCATTCCCTTAACAAGAGCTGACAATAATTTATCTTACTTCTTCAGTGACAATTTCATGCAAATCCGGAATGCTCAGATCTGCCTTCACAAAAGGAATCTTATCCACCTCTTCAGGAAATGGTCGATGTTTCACGGTGTATTTAAATCCAACATCATTTTTAGGAACTGGACGAGGTTCAGGCACAAAAAGCTGTTGAAATGAAACAAGTAACATTATGCTTATTATATTGGTGTCATCTGTAATGACATGTATTTCCCTGGTCATTTTGATGCTTGTGTTTCCCTGGGATCATGTAACACTGGACTCAGTAAGAATCTGCAAACACTACTGCTAACAGTAAAGGTATACAGCCTGTGTCCAAGTGTTTATTTTTATGAAGCTGTTTACCAACTTCTTAATAGGTTTTTTGACTAGTAAATGGATTGTGACCTCTACTGCCCTAAGCCAGAACCTCCCACATTCAGTGGCAAGCCAACGGATAAGGTGTTTCAGAGCTTAAGACTCAAACTCCCTTCTTCCCCACGGACTCTCAAATCATTCCATATAATAAAGCACAGGTTTAAGTCCACTGGGTATCTCTAGACAGTGAGTTCAATTTGAACCTTAACATGGCCTAAATGAAGAGTATGAGCACCAAATCTAGTTCCTCGTGGCTCCAAATCCCTGCTTCAATACATTAGCTATGTGATTTCCATTTTCACATCTAAAAAATGGAAATAACCCATTACAAGACTGTGGCAAGGATTAAATAAAAATGTGTATGGCACATATTAAAGCATCAATAAATTTTAGCTCCTTTCCCAATCTTCCTCAGCAGCCTTTAAAGCTAATGTAGTGGCTTACAGTACTACTGACAGAATGCACAGTCTGCACAATGCCTCCAAGAGAAAAATGAAGGTGTGCTCCTCACAGGGTGAGAAATATACCTCATCTAACAGAGACATCTAGGATGTTAAATGATTTTAGCCACATGCTCTAATTTTGTGGGTGTCTCTCTTAAATGCTGGAGAAATTTTACTAAGTCATGTTTTAAAGAACTTTTAGTAACATAAGTAAAAGCTAACAATGTGCTAAGTGAAAAGAGCAGTATACAAAAATGACTCAAATTCTGCTTGCTACTGTGTACACAAAAAAGACTGGAAGGAAATGCACTAAAATATTAACAGAGCCTATCTACTTCCGGAGAGGTGAGAGTATGGGTGATTTCAAATTTCTTCATCATCTGAATTTTCAAATGTCTCCCACGAGCAAACTTTATTCACAAAAAATTACAAGTGTTACAAAGAAAATAAATTGTGCCACCCCAAAATAAGATTTCATTAAATTATATAGCATGTTTTTAAAAATTATAGAGTATATTACCAACTATACAGGAATAATACATATAAAAACAATTTAAACTAAATCCTATAGCCAGAGAGGTCAAGAGTCTGGCCAAATTTTTTTTATACATGGCATGTGCCTGAGTTTTATTATATTTAACACTGCATGAAAAAACTGGGGCTATAGTTCAGAACAGTAGTTCATAATCCTGAATGGACACCAGAATCACCTGGAAAGCTTTTTGAAAATACACCTGCCCTGTGCATGTCTTTAAAGAGTTAATTCAGTGGATCTGGTATTCTAGGCTCCTAGGATGATTCTGATGTGAACCCACTGACAGATCCTAGCTAGGATAAAAAATATTAATTTTATCTGTGATTTCTGTTAGAATGCTATTTTATCTTTAAATCATAACATGCACATGTACTCAGACACACACACACACACACACACACATACACACACGCATGCATGCACTCCTAGTCACTTCCCTGTAACTTCTGATGGATACCTTCTGATTTGCTTTTGCTCCTCTGGGCAAAAGGCAAAGCTGTTGTGCCCAAGCAAGTCTTCCAGACATTCCCCGGACCAGCACAGTAACAGAGGGGAAAAAATCATCTAGAATAAAATGTTGGTATAAAAGTTTATACTACAGACAACAACCATTTAAAATATAACCTGTTATCAACTGCAGAGCTTTTAATAATCAAAGCCCTAGCACAGTGTTTCCCAAACGTTCATTCTTTGGGTACCACTCTGTGGTTTCTGCATTATCAATGCACCTTAAATACTATTATCTTACTTTGTTTCAACCACTTTCTTTTTTAACTTTAAAATTTTATTTTAAAAGGAAATTGTATATTTTTACTTTAAATGCAAAACCATGAATTTTAGGATGGTCATTATGCATTTTTTAAACACGTTTAAAAATACATAAAATAATGTTCACCAACATATCTGCTAACATCATCTCATATGCCTCCTGTGGTACCCCTACACAGTTTTGGGAGACACCATCCTAGCCAGTACTCTTAAAGCCCAGGGCTGGCAACGACCTACGTGCAAGAAGACAGACTGGCTGCCTACAGTGCTGATGTTACCTTCACCCATGCCTTTGTGTACCACTGTCTAACACGAGCAGGCACCCTTCCATCCCAAGGGAAGCACAGAAAAAGGTGAGAAAAGAACTCAGGATGGACTTCCTGAGAGCCCGGATCCTTGTTCTTACTACCTTTTGCCCCTGGTGTGGGGGTCAAACCTCTTTAAACTTCTATCTCTTCCTTCTTCTGTTATTAATTATTATGAGTTATTAATTATAATGAACTATTAAGCTGTACTGACAAATCTTTAACTATTGAGAAAATCCTATCACTATGGGGCAATGATAACAGAAAGGGACAGAATGAGGTTAGAAAATTTGGATTCTAGTCCTAGTCATACCATATATCTCTGAAGTAACCCTAGACAAGTCACACACTCTCTCTGAGCCTCAGTTTCTTCACCTGTGAATGAGGGAATTATACACGGGGTGATTCCCTGGGTCTCTGAATGCCCATAGATTCTGTAACCATCACTTTCCTTCACCTTCCCAGCCATACAGGTCTCTGAGAACATGCTTCATAACAATGCTTTTATTTTAGCTGATTCCAATTACCATCAGGAAAAAAATGTACTTTGACTAGTCTGGGTTGCAGTGGTAAGTGCATACCTTGAGACAGTTTATCATGGGGTGAAGAAGGGAGAGGAGGAAAACAGTGCGTTGTCTCAGTGGAAAACCACTAAAGGGTTTTCAGGAGAGCACTGGCATGGTCAGATCTGTATCTGAGGATGAATATGATGGTGGCAGCAAGCACGAAGGAGGTAAGGGTAACAAACTTTGGAACCAGATGGAAGAAGGATCATACTAGGTAGGAAGCAACTGCAGTAATCTGGGTAAGAAACAATAAGGCCCTGCATTTGGGTATACTGGGAGGGATGCAGGGTAAAGGAAAGATTCAAGAGTCTCCGGGTAGGTGAAAATTTGGAAACCAATTATACAAGAGTAACAGGAAGGAGCAGGCAAAGATGACTCCTCACATTTCCAGCCTGTTTGCAAGGATAATAACTAAAATAGAACAATGTGGAGTGAGGGGCAGGAAAGGAGAGGGGCAGAATTCAAAGTTCAAGGAGGGAAGATGAGTAATGATTTTTATAGAGTAATGTCAGAAAACATTCCATTAAAACAAACTTCTTGTAAAACCAGAGAGCTCTTTTCTGATATTTCTGATACAAAGATTCTATATTACATGTATATTCCATTTCTGACCCTCTATTTTCTGTTACTAAAATCCCACAACTAGAAGTCTTTTTGACAAATGCAGAATTACTTAGAATTTGCAGTCTTTCCTTCCCTGATTCTGGAAACAAAGCTTGCTAATACTGATGAACACATAGATGTAGCAGTGGAGAAGGCCCAAAGTGCTGAAACTTACGCTGTTCATTTCCAAGAGGTTGCTCCAGCATTGCCAGGATGACGCTGTTATCCAAGACAAAGTATCGAAAGCTATGCCTGTTTATGGTTGGTAGCCTGGAGTATTTGATCAAAGTGGTCTCATTCACCAGACTACAAGGAGAGGCAGGACCACTGGGTGAAGGAAATGCACCAAGCAACTGCATAATACTAGGAAGAATGCAAAAGATAACAGTTAGGTCCCAAAGCAAAATCTCAGGTTTCCTTATGCATCAATGTGTTCTGCTCTTTTGATTTCAACTGACCACAGCCAAGCTGCCTCTTTGCAGGTCTGATTTACTCCTTGTGGTAGATGCTGTGGTACACTGTCCAGATTCCCCTTCCAAGACAGGAGCCTTTCCTCCAGAAGTAGGGAGATGACGCGACAGCTTCCAGCGGAGTCCCTCTCTATGACTTGTTCTTGATCAATGAGAACCACCTCACCCAAGATCAGAGCTTCCTCCTAAGACAGCCCACATCCACTGAATGGCTGATGCATGGGTATAAAGTTCCAACTCTCAAGCCCCATCCTGAGGAAACTCTTGACGGGCAAACCCAGCTACAGAGCTCTTTGTTGCAACCACATCACAGTTTACTTCTTCCTTCTGCTCAGACCTGCTTCCTTTGATCATGAGGGCACTTTCCAATGAACTTGCAAGGAAAATCTCTCCTCTCAGAGTTCAACCCAGGGAACCTGACTAAACACACTTCCAAATCATGAAGCACCTGAAGATGTATTAAAAAATGTTATATGCTCTAGGTGTCAGGATTATACTAGTCACAGCACTCAAGACCTAGAAAGGACCCAAAGATCAGCCAACCCCCCTCAATTTTTCAGATGAGGAAATTCAGGCTCAGATGTGGTAAATGATCTTTAAGAGATCAGAAACAGGGCTTGCTTCCTTCTCACTGTGTGGCCATGAGTCTACAGTACCCTCGTTTTGCAGGTTAGGAATTTGAGGTACTAATGGTTACATCTCACAGAACCGTTATAATTATTAAATGAGAATATATTAGGAAAAAATGCTTTGTAAATCAGAATTCAACTGACCAAGCCTTAACATTCAGAAATGTCTATGTCTATAGAGATTTCTGCACATACTCAATGAATAATAACAATTTATATAAAGCACACCATCCACTAGGCACATTATTTTATTTAGTCATCCTAACAATCCTATGAGATAGGTACTATTATTATTCCCACTTTGTAATGAAGAAACTGAAGCACAGAAGAGAGAATCTAGCAATGAAAACATAAAGATTTGATCCTGTGGTCCCAATGTCACCTGATCCTTCATATGCATCTGGAAAACATAATATTCCCCAACACCATTTTTATTATCTCAATTCCCAACTTGAGTGGCCTCTCTTTTCTTTTTCATTCTAATGCTTGAATCTAAAATATTTGATAATATTTGGCAACATAACTCAAGAGGTATTTTCCTTCCACTTCCTCTCCTCCTAGGAGGAAGACTTTGTATGAATTTCAAAGACCAGGAGAATTTGATGAGTTCAGCCCTCTAAGGATTTGGGAAAAACTGGTGAATACCAGGAAACCAATAATGGAAAAATGTGGCTTTCATTTTCTCAAACAGGACAGAGACGGGTGTCAATCAGCATTTGGACCGTGTGAGCTTAGACTCCACATAAGATTCAAAGACATTATCAGATGGGCTGCTGGCAAGGGAATAGGTCACTAAGATCAGATTATACCAGCCTAACCACATTTTCTCTTCTTGATAGTAACTAAACTGGAAGGTGGAAAACTAACCCTGAAATGAAGACATGCAAGTAGTTGACAGTGTGTCATGATAAACTTGTAGACAAGATCCTTGTAGATAAAATCCTGCAAACCTGAAGGGAAATCTCTGATGATGTGCTATGCAAGTCTAGCTCTTTAGAGTTCAATATTTCTATCAGTTTCTTTGATTAGGACACACAAGGCAGGCTCATTAAATCTGCACTTGACCAAAAGCTGAGGTGCAGAGTTAATATATCAGAATGCGCTGGGATCCAAGAGTCCTAAAAGACTAAAAATAATGAGGTAAAGCTTACATGGAGAAATTTCAGATTTAAGGGTGATGTTTTGTACATTATATTCAAATATCCCCAAGTTAGTACAAGATGAGAAAAACAGACAAAAGGTAAATGTGCGAAAAAAGACTCAAAAGATTTTAGTTGACTTAATGCAAATCACCAGGCTCTCAAAAATCCAAAAACAGTTTCCAAGTACATTTTAATGAAAGTATAATGTTCTACAGCTTAAAGGTCATCAGGCTACATCTAGAATATTGTACTCAGTAAACCATTTTTAAGACATGCATAGTCAAAGTTATACCACTGAGAGGCTAATGACCAGGATGATAAAATTCTTGAATCCCTGTCATATGAAAGAGCTGAATATACCAGCAGAAATGAATAAGACACAACACATGCACTGTCTTTAGGCCTTACTACCACTTGGAAAAAGGATTTCACTGTCAGTAGTTTGAATGAGAGCCAATGGGTAAGCTAAGGGGGAGAGATTTCAACTCAATGTAAACATTAAGCTTTTAGCAATTAAAATGAAATGGGCAAACTTGAGGGTTAGATTATCCCAAAATTAGAGGCTAAATAACTTCGTAAATGTATTTTACAGGTGACTTAAACAGTTGCTGAAATGACCTGGAAGAGTCCCAATTCTGAATTTGTATTAGTACACCAAGGAAAAAAGCCCAACAAGCCAATCTGCAGTCTGTAACTGTGCTCAACACTGTGAGGGGTGTTTAAAGAGGGAAATAATGGCCTCTACCTGGGTTGGGGAGACAACACTAGCATGTTATCAAACATAACCAGGTATAATCATGACAGGACAGAATCCCACGCTGTGTGGCAGGATCTCACTGAATGAGCACAGAGGTGCAGAAGAGTCATCACTCAGAAGCAAAATATCTAAAAAGGTCCAATGGAGGTAGCTAGATTTGATGTGAACACTGAACAGTGGAGTGTGTGGCCCAGGGGAAAAGAGGGAGGTACTGAAACCCAGGGAAGGTACACAGACAAGTCTGAGCATGCTCAGTTTACAGATGCAAGTGGCCTGCCAGGCCCTACTATGGCAGAAGCATTGTGCTGAGGAAGATCAGACAGTTCAAGTGAGGACAGAAGAAGGAAACTGAAAACCAGACTAATGAGTTCAGACCACGTGGCAGGAAACAGATCTATTTAGTTTTCAATCACTCTAGAAGTAAATTAGCACCTAAGGAAGATGAGTTGAACAATAGAATGCAACAAGAACAGGAGAGATGAAAGCAGGGGAATCAGGCAAGTGAGAAGGATCTGGACTAGGATGCTGAAGTTACAGGGAATGGACGAAATACTTTCAAGAATAAAGTCTACTTGACTGTCACTGGCCTCATATGGAAAAATGATAGTGGATATGAAATGGATATATAAAGCAGAGATAAATCTGAAAAAAGCCAAAGGTCTGTGTTCGTGTAACTAGAAAACGACAGTGATACTGACATAAAGCTGTACTTTTGAAGGAACACAGAAATTTGTTTTCAACAGGTTTCATGATGACAGTACTCTTCAAGGCACTCTTATAGACTGGAAACTGGAGATACCATTTGTGGAGTGGCCAGCAGAGAAAAGACAGCTGCAGATAAAGCACATGAACCATCTAGGTAACTACTGGCTAGGTTTCAAGGCAACATCCCAGGGCTCTCCACTCATTCTGAGCACATATTCAATCCTAACTGCCAATCAAACTCTCCTAGGAACCCCCATCCAGATTAAGATGGCACATTAAAGCACACATCAAGTCTTAGTCCTTTAATAATGCTTTTAAGTTTACTCCAGCCCCAATGTGGTCTTCTATCTGAAATTTATTGTTTCTAGTACTCATTACTTGTGTAAGTACATGCATAAATAGTTGCATTCATATTTTTCTGATTTTCTAGCTCACAGCCAAACCTTCACAAGGTCACTCAAAGCCCAGCATTAGCACAGTGAACATGCAAGCATGTCTCTAAAAATGTACTGAATGACCTAAGTCCATGAGCAAGTGAAATAAATCCAACTTTACTGTGCATGCCACAAGTTGTCAACAAACCACTGAACTCAGGAAAGATTCTGAGATCTTGGTAAGGGCTGATTTACATACAAATATTCAAGCAGTCTTGCTGTCCACTATTAAGAAAACCAAACAAGCCAACCCAGACTGACTTGACATCCCTCCTTCATGCTTTTGTTTTTCTGGGTGTTCACCCACACTTACCCTTTCGTAAGTTCCATCCTTCCATCTATACTACAGTTTTACCTCATTTTCTCCACTAAATTCTTTCCTGCTGTCCATAAATGTGCTTTAAACTGCCTTCCTTCCATCCTTCCACTCCCCTCACTTGGCAGCTAAAACAAACTCTCTCAATGCTCTCTGCAGTTTTTTCAAGAGACCAACCTGTCTTCATCCTTTCACGACCAGAATGCTTAAAACAGGAATCTTCTTTTGCTGCCTTCTTAACCACTCTGTAACCTGGCTTATACCTGAAATTTTACCTGTCCTCTTAAGAGTCAGATCCAATGCCATTTTCCCTAGAAATCTTAGCTTGATTTTCCCTTATCTAGAAGTATTAATTTCCTCTTTCCAGCATTTCATTTGTATTTCTCTTCTTGGAGTACTTGTTTTCCACCTAATATAGCTATTTGTGTTCACAGCTTTCCTATTGGACAAGAAGCTCTTTGGTGACTGAATCTGATTAATCTTTATGATCCTATTACCAGTTAATAAGAGGGAATTCATAAATCTTGGCTGAATGAACTGACAATATGTACTGTATAGGTGTAGCAGAGAATATGGACATTAAGCTAGGCCGAAGACCTAATAGTGTGACCACAGGCAGATCCCATCTCTAGACTCAGGAATCAAAGTGAGGGGGCAGAGTAAGATTCTCCAAGACCCTTTCCAGCTCTAACATGATGTGACTTGAATTAACATCAACAAGCACAGGAAAACAAGGATCCAAACTCTCAACCCCAAGTTCCTGGTTTATTTTGGTCCCCCAAAACAATAGTTTTTCCTTTCATTTTTCTTCAGGAGAAAAACTATCCTAAAGGAATTGCTTTACTTAAAAGTCGAACAGTCGGGGAGGAGACTGAGTAATACGGATCACAGCTAACCCCTTCTAATCCTTAGGCACAGCCTCTGTGTGGTCACTTTCATACCATGTTAGGGTGGCCTCAGCAGCATCCTTTACCCTCAGAGACGCAGGGTTTGGCTCCTTATCGCCTTTGTACTTGACCTCTTGCTCACTGTTCTTGGACTTACTTCCTGAAATACCCAGCTCCACGATCTCCAATACTTCCTTAAGACAATCCTAGACGTGAGAAAGGCAGATCAGTTTTTGTAATACATCTATCTTAGGAGAAAACAAGAAAATACATCAAAATGTTAATAGCGGTTATGTTTTGGTGGTGGCACTCCAGTCTCTTTCTCATTTTCTTTAATAGGCATGTATTAATTCCATAATATAATAAACTTTGCCTCCCAATTTTTCTTTAAAGAACTAAACTTGTGTGTTCAGAGAGTTAGATAATACATAATGATAAATTCAATTTTATCAGTCACAATTCTTATAAAATTACCACAGACTGTAAATCATGAAAGCCCAGGTTTAAGAGATATAACATTAATTCAGGCAAACCTGGGGTGGTCTGAGACACATCAGATTATCCAAATGGAAGCTCATTAGTTACTGACATTTTAAAGCAATTTCTGGTATCATTAACTTTAGAAGCCATAGTGACAATGACTAAGATCTAATCAATAGTATTATTTTAAAAACTATAAAAAGCACTCGATAAATCTTCAATGAACTTGGTACCTCTTTTTTAAATTTATACTGTGAATTCTGTTACTGACATTTTAAAGCAATTTCTGGTATCATTAACTTTAGAAGCCATAGTGACAATGACTAAGATCTAATCAATAGTATTATTTTAAAAACTATAAAAAGCACTCGATAAATCTTCAATGAACTTGGTACCTCTTTTTTAAATTTATACTGTGAATTCAACTGCCTGCCTCCCTATAAGGAAGGCATTACATTCAACCATGCGGAAAAACCAGCCTAGACATTCATGCCTATTTGAAAGTGGAAACGTGTGTAAAATGCAATTGTTAGATATAAGTAACATCTACAAAATGTGCTTTATGAAATATGAAATACTACATTTAAATATTCTCTTGTAAAAGGCATTTCCCCAACATACATTTTTGTTTCTACTTACTGTTTTAGATCTAGTAAACTAACCTTTTCATCAAGCATATCAGGGTGTTCTGTCAGCCAGACACAGAGACACTGAAAGGCTGCTACTATCATGGAGTGCAGATCCCGAGAGTGAAGAGGAGCTGGACGACTACACTGGTACACGATGTAGCTGCACACGGAACTGATGGCTCGCTTCCGGTCTCCTGAGTCAACCATCACCTTCACCTGAGCATGTTCACAGGAAGAACACAGTTAGCCAGCAACCACCATAACAATTTCAAAGCATCTGCACTGATGCTCAGCCTTTCTGAAAATGACACAGGAATCCTTGTTTTTTAAAATATTATTTATATAGAGGAACCGAATACTTCAGATGTACTATCATACAATACTCTCTAAAAACAGAGGGCATTTTTCTAACTCTAAAACAGCATTTCATTTTAGCATAGTTTTTCATGGCCTAGACTTCTACTCAACATTATCGGAGATTGAAAGAATAGCTGGCAATAGAACATGTACACATTTTTTAAGCCCCCTAACCCAACCCACAGTGAAGCCCTATGGGCTACAAAGTTCTATGTAGCTACTCATAGGTATAATTAACATACAGAAAGTGCACAGCTGCACATAAAGTGTACAATTTTGTAAATTTCGGCAAAAGTATACCCCTGTTAACTATCAGCACAATGAAGATCATGAACATACCCATCACCCCCTCAAAACTCCCTCATACAACTTTGTAATCCTTCTCCCCACTCCTTTTAGTACCTTCCCTAGGTTATTGATAATCTTTTCTGTCACTATAGCTTAACTGTAATTTTTCAGAGTTTTATATAAATAAAAAATCATACAGTATCACACCCTTCTTTTTTGGTGGAGTGGGGTAGCTTTTTTACTCAGCATAATTATTTTGAGATTTATCCACATTTTTGTATCAATTATTCACTGCTTTTTATTTCTGAATAGTATTCCACTGCATGGATATACCACTATATATCTATCCAGTCATCTGTTGATGGACATTTGGCTTATATCCAGCTTCTGGGTATTACTAATAAAGTTGCTATGAACATTCACGTATACGTCTTTGCATGTATATATGCTCTCTTACCTCCTTGGAATCAGGCTTAGCCCTGGCCCCTGAACCCCACCCCTCACCAGCACCTATGGTTAACTCTTAAAGGAACTGAAAAGCTCTTTTCTAGAATGGTTCTACTAGTTAACATTCCCATCAAAAGTGTATGAGAGTTCCAGGCTTCCACATCCTTGCCAATGTTTGATACGGTCAGTTTTTTAAGTTTTAGCTATCCTCCCATTGTGGTTTTAATTGCATTTCTCTAATAACTAATAATACTGAACATCTTTTCATATGCCTACTTGCCATCTGTATATCTGCTTGGGTAAAGTGTTCAAATCTTTTGGGTTATTTGTTGTATTACTGAAGGCTTCTGTTGTTATTCTTCTCTTTTTTTTTATTAAGGTATCGTTGATACACACTCTTATGAAGGTTTCACATGAAAAACACTATGGTTACGACATTCACCCATATTATCTAGCACCCCCCCCCCACAGTGCAGTCACTGTCTTATCAGTGTAGCAAGATGCCACAGAGTCACTACTTGTCTTCTCTGTGATACACTGTCATCCCCATGACGCCCCCACACCATGTGTGCCAATCATAATACCCCTCAATCCCCTTCTCCCACCCTTCCCACACATCCTCCACCAACCCACCCCTTTGGTAACTGCTAGTCCCTTGTTGGAGTCTGTGGGTCTGATGCTATTTTGTTCCTTCAATTTTGCTTCGTTGTTATACACCACAAACGAGGAAAATTATTTGGTACTTGTCTTTCTCCGCCTGGCTTATTTCACTGGGCATAATGTCCTCCAGCTCCATCCATGTTGTTACAAAGGGTAGGAATTGTTTCTTTCTTATGGCTGAATAGTATTCCATTGGGTATATGTACCACCTCTTCTTTATCCATTCATCTACTGATGGACCCTTCCATATCTTGGTTACTGTAAATAGTGCTGCAATAAAGATAGGGGTGCATATGTCTTTTTGAATCTGAGAACTTGTTTTCTTTGGGTAAATTCCTAGGAGTGGAATTTCTGGGTCAAACGGTATTTCTATTTTTAGTTTTTTGAGGAACCTCCATATTCCTTTCCACAATGGTTGAACTAGCTTACATTCCCACCAGCAGTGTAGGAGGGTTCTCCTTTCTCCACAACCTCGCCAACATTTGTTGTTCCTAGTCTTCTCTATGTTGCCCATCCTAACTGGTGTTAGGTGATATCTCGTTGTGGTTCTAATTTGCATTTCCCTGATAATTAGCAATGTGGAGCATCTTTTCATGTGCCTATTGGCCACCTGAATTTCTTCTTTGGAGATATGCATGTTCATATACTCTGCCCATTTTTTAATAGGGTTATTTGCCTATTGGGTATTGAAGCATATGAGTTCTTTATATATTTTGGATGTTAACCCCTTGTTGGATATGTCATTTACAAACATATTCTTCCATACTGTAAGATGCATTTCTGTTCTGCTGATGATGTCCTTTTCTGTACAGAGGCTTTTTAGCTTGATGTAGTCCCATTTGTTCATATTTGCTTTTGTTTCCCTTGCCCGAGGAGATGAATTCAGGAAAAAGTTGCTCATGTTTATATTCAAGAGATTTTTGACTATGTTTTCTTCTAAGAGTTTTATGGTTTAATGGCTTACATTCAGGTCTTTGATCCATTTCGAGTTTTCTTTTGTGTGTGGGGTTAGACAATAATCCAGTTTCATTCTCATGCATGTACCTGTCCAGTTTTGCCAACACCAGTTTTTGAAGAGGCTGTCATTTCCCCTTTGTATGTCCATGGCTCCTTTATCATATACGAATTGATCATACATGCTTGGGTTTATATCTGGGCTCTCTAGTCTGTTCCATTGGTCTGTTGTTCTGTTCTTGTGCCAGTACCAAATTGTCTTGATTACTGTGTGCAGCATAGGAAAGCACCAGCTTGAGAATAACTGGTGCAGTCCTTGGAAGTCATCTGTCCACAAAAACATATCTTGTCCTCGAAGACGAGCCAAGACGCCTCACTCTGAAAATAGGGAGACCTTGAGGATGTGTGAAAACATCGCCCCTGCTTACTATACAGCTTCTAAGAAAATCAACAAAGTGCTCTGGCCTGCCCCCCCTGAGAAGGGAAAGATAAGTATAGCACTTGGCTGAGGTCCAAGAAAGGCAGTATAAAAATAAAGGTGCTGCGCCACATCAGGGCTGCAGCCACTGTCTGTCTGTCTGTGTTGGCTGTGTTATTTGTTCTCTCATGTCACCCAAAGAAAATATGCGGCACACTACATCTGGCGCACAACGTGGGGCCACTACAACTGTGGCTTTGTAGTAGAGCTTAAAGTCAGGGAGAGTAATCATCCCCCAACACCCCCACTTTATTCGTCCTTCTCAGGATTGCTTTGGCTATTTGGGGTCTTTTGTGGTTCCATATGAATTTTAGAACTATTTGTTCCAGTTTGCTGAAGAATGTTGTTGGTATTTTGATAGGGATTGCATTGAATCTGTAGATTGCTTTAGGCAGGATGGCCATTCTGACAATATTAATTCTTCCTATCCATGAGCACAGGATGTGTTTCCATGTATTGGTATCTTCTTTGATTTCTCTCACCAGTGTCTTGTAGTTTTCAGGGTACAGGTCTTTCACTTCCTTGGTTAGGTTTATTCCTAGGTATTTTATTCTTTTTGATGCATTTGTGAATGGAATTGTTTTCCTGATTTCTCTGATAGTTCATTGTTAGTGTATTGGAATGCCACAGATTTCTGTGTATTAATTTTGTATCCTGCAACTTTGATGAATTCAGATATGAGATCCAGTAGTTTTGGAGCAGGTTCTTAAGGGTTTTTTATGTATAATAACATGTCATCTGCAAACAGGGACAGTTTAACTTCTTCCTTGCCATTCTGGCTGTCTTTGATTTCTTTGTGTTGTCTGACTGCCATAGCTAGAACCTCCAGAACTATGTTGAATAGAAGTGGGGAGAGTGGGCATCTTTGTCTTGTTCCCGATCTTAGAGGAAAAGCTTTCAGCTTCTTGCTGTTAAATATAGTATTGGCTGTGGGTTTGTCATATATGGACTTCATTATGTTGAGGCACTTGCCCTCTATACCCATTTTGTTGAGAGTTTTTATCATGAATGGATGTTGAATTTTGTCACATGCCTTTTCAGCATCTATGGAGATGATCATGTGGTTTTTGTCCTTTTTGTTGATGCAGTAGATGATGTTGATGAATTTTTGAATACTGTACTATCCTTGCATCCCTGGAATAAATCCTACTTGATCATGATGGATGATCTTTTTGATGTATTTTTTAATTCAGTTTACTAATGTTTTGTTGAGGATTTTTGCATCTATGTTCATCAGGGATATCAGTCTGTAACTTTCTTTTTATTGTGGTGTCTTTGCCTGGTTTTGGTATTAGAGTGATGCTGGCATCATTGAATGAGTTTGGAAGGATTCCCTACTCTTCTACGTTTTGGAAAACTTTAAGGAGGATGTGTATTAGGTCTTCACTAAATGTTTGATAAAATTGAGCAGTCGAGGGGTTTTGTTCTTAGGTAGTTTTTTGATTACCCATTCAATTTCATTGCTGGTAATTGTTCTGGTCAGATTTTCTGTTTCTTTCTGGGTCAGTTTTGGAAAGCTGCATTTTTCTAGAAAGTTGTGCATTTCTTCTAGGTTATCCAGTTTGTTAGCATGTAATTTTTCAGAGTATTCTCTAATTATTCTTTGTATTTTTGTGGTGTCTGGAGTGATTTTTCCTTGCTTTTTCTGATTCTGTTTATGTGTGTAGATTCTTTTTTTCTTGCTAAGTCTGGCTAGGGGTTTATTTATTTTGTTTATTTTCTCAAAGAACCACCTCCTGCTTTCATTGATTCTATTGTTTTATTCTTCTCAATTTTATTTATATCTGCTCTTATCTTTATTATGTCCCTCCTACTGACATTGGGCCTCATTTGTTCTTTTTTTAAGTTTCATAAATTTTGAGTTTAGACTGTTCAAAAGGGATTGTTCTTTCCTGAGGTAGGCCTGTATTGCAATATACCTCCCTCTTAGCACAGCCTTCACTGTGTTGTGCAGATTTTGCGGTGTTGAATTATTGTTATCATTTGTCTCCATATATTGCTTGACCTCTGTTTTTATTTTGTCGTTTATCCA